GAGGAGGCCGGGATACCCCCCCCCTCCCGCCACCAGTGCTCCCAGTGCGGTCTTGGCTACATCCCAGTCCTCCCAGTATCACCAGCGCACCCCCCTAAGGCCTTCCCAGTGCTCCCAGTCTGGCCCCAAGACCCTCCCAGTGTTCCCAGTCTGGCCCCAAGGCCCTCCCAGTATCACCAGTGCAGCCCCAAGACCCTCCTAGTGCTCCCAGTCTGGCCCCAACACCCTCCCAGTATCACCAGTGCAGCCCCAAGACCCTCCCAGTGCCCCCAGTCTGGCCCCAAGGCCCTCCCAGTGCTCCCAGTCTGGCCCCAAGACCCTCCCAGTGTCACCAGTGCAGCCCCAAGGCCCTCCCAGTGCTCCCAGTCTGCCCCCAAAGCTCTCCCAGTGCTCCCAGTCTGGCCCCAACACCCTCCCAGTGCCACCAGTGCAGTCCCAAGACCCTCCCAGTGCTCCCAGTCTGGCCCCAAGACCCTCCCAGTGCTCCCAGTCTGGCCCGAACATCCTCCCAGTGCTCCCAGTCTGACCCCAAGGCCCTCCCGGTGCCCCCAGTCTCGCCCTAAGGCCCTCCCAGTGCCCCCAGTCTGGACCCAAGTCCTTCCCAGTGACCCCAGTATGGCCCCAAGGCCCTCCCGGTGCCCCCAGTACAGCCCCGAGGACCTCCCAGTGCTTCCAGTACAGCCCTGGAAACCACCCAGTGCTCCCAGTGTGGCCTTGGAAAGTCCCCAGTGCTCCCAGTACATCCCTCGGGGAATCCCAGTTCTCCCCATGGAGCCCTGCCCCTCCCTGCCCTGTCCCAGCGCACACCCCCCGCGGGTCCCTCCCAGTGCTCCCAGTTTGGCCCCCAAGACCCTCCCAATGCTCCCAGTTTGGCCCCAACACCCTCCCAATGCTCCCAGTTTGGCCCCCAAGACCCTCCCAGTGCTCCCAGTTTGGCCCCCAAGACCCTCCCAGTGCTTCCAGTCTGGCCCCAAGACCCTCCCAGTGTTCCCAGTCTGGCCCCAAGGCCCTCCCAGTATCACCAGCGCACCCCCCTAAGGCCTTCCCAGTGCTCCCAGTCTGGCCCCAAGACCCTCCCAGTGTTCCCAGTCTTGACCCAAAGCCCTCCCAGTATCACCAGTGCAGCCCCAAGACCCTCCTAGTGCTCCCAGTCTGGCCCCAACACCCTCCCAGTATCACCAGTGCAGCCCCAAGACCCTCCCAGTGCCCCCAGTCTGGCCCCAAGGCCCTCCCAGTGCTCCCAGTCTGGCCCCAAGACCCTCCCAGTGCTCCCAGTCTGGCCCGAACATCCTCCCAGTGCTCCCAGTCTGACCCCAAGGCCCTCCCGGTGCCCCCAGTCTCGCCCTAAGGCCCTCCCAGTGCCCCCAGTCTGGACCCAAGTCCTTCCCAGTGACCCCAGTATGGCCCCAAGGCCCTCCCGGTGCCCCCAGTACAGCCCCGAGGACCTCCCAGTGCTTCCAGTACAGCCCTGGAAACCACCCAGTGCTCCCAGTGTGGCCTTGGAAAGTCCCCAGTGCTCCCAGTACATCCCTCGGGGAATCCCAGTTCTCCCCATGGAGCCCTGCCCCTCCCTGCCCTGTCCCAGCGCACACCCCCCGCGGGTCCCTCCCAGTGCTCCCAGTTTGGCCCCCAAGACCCTCCCAGTGCTTCCAGTCTGGCCCCAAGACCCTCCCAGTGCTCCCAGTCTGGCCCGAACATCCTCCCAGTGCTCCCAGTCTGACCCCAAGGCCCTCCCGGTGCCCCCAGTCTCGCCCTAAGGCCCTCCCAGTGCCCCCAGTCTGGACCCAAGTCCTTCCCAGTGACCCCAGTATGGCCCCAAGGCCCCCCCGGTGCCCCCAGTACAGCC